ACTCTTTCCGATAAATCATTTGCAGTAAGCATGGTGTGAGTCGTTACATGCATGATCCGAGGAAGGGCCACATGGATACAATATATATGTATCTGAGGTATTTGAGGAGTGCACCAGAGAAGGGGTTGATCTTTAGGAAGAATGTGCATTTAAGCATTGAGGGCTACTATGGCTCCGATTGAACTAGTTGTGTTGATGACAGGAGGTTCACATCAGGACACTGCATGTTCGTAGGGGTCAATTTGGTATCTTGGAAGAGCAAGAAGTAATCGCTAGTTACGAGATTAACTACATAGGTAGAGTGTAGAGCACCTTAGGAGTTGTCGAGATATTATGGATGAGAGCTCTATTAGTAGAGCTCAAGGTAGACCAAGGAGATCAAATGAAATTGTGGTGTGATAACAAGTCAACAATCAATATTACGAACAACCTGGTGCAACACGACAGAACCAAGAATTTGGAGATTGATAAGTTCTTCGTCAAGAAGAAGCTGAATAATGGACTACTGGAGATAAGTCATGTAGCTGCTGGAAAACAAGCAGTTGACTGCCTTACCAAGGGTCTTAGCCCATTAGATCTATCTAAGTTGTGTGACAAGATGTGCTGGTGGATATCTTTTGCCCATCTTGAGGGAAAATGTTGAGAATTGTATCTACTTTAGGGTTCAATTGAGTAATAGGAAATGTAGAGAAGTTTAGGGACTTATCTGCTAGAATGTACGTGATTTATATAAGCCCAAGTCATTAATCAATAAACAAGATTTTTTTTCCTTTACAAATATATTGTTAACCTATTTTAGATATTTATTTACTATTATAATGGATGCCAATGGGGAAGGATTGTCTGCATCAGTCCTTAAATGTGGTATGTGGGTGAAAAATCTAAATAATAAGAACGGCATCACTGCGTTGTATGAATAAGATTGGATGCATTAACCCCTCACAGAACCAAGCATTAATAAGAAACTCCGTTGTCGTGATGGCTTTTTTTACCAATTGCTTCCTATGTTATTTGCGTCTTTCCTACTACTTATTTCTTCAAACTAATGCTTCCAATGCATAACTCGCGATCCAAAACACGGAGTCTAAAAGGAAGATATTCAACATAGTTGGGTGGGATATTTTGATAAACTTTTCAATGAAGCTCTTGAAAATATGACTGACCTTATTAATCCTAATATTGTTAATAATAATAATAATTTATATTCTTATTGTGGCATTAGTAAAAAGGAATTTGAGGAGGCTTTATAGAAAATTAATGGTGAAAAATCAGTAGGACCTGCTGATCTCCCAATTGAAGTATGAAAACATTTAGGTGATTTGGAAGTTTCATTGCTTACTAAACTCTTTCATATTATTTTAAAAACTAAGAATTTTGAGGAGTGAAGGAATAATATTTTGATTCAATTTTTAGAAATAAAGGGGATGCACAAGAGTATGCAAATTATAAAGAAATTAAGTTAATATGTCATACATTAAAAGTATGGGAGAGTAATTGAATATAGTTTAAGACGTGATACAAAGATTTCTCATAATCATTTTGGCTTTATGTTGTGTAAGTCTACCATGGAAGCTATACATTTATTGAGAGGTTTGATGGAGAGGCATAGAGAAAGGCGATTCTACATATGATTTTTATTGATTTAGAAAAAGCTTACGATAAGTTTACAACAAAAGTTCTTTGGAGAGATCTAGAAAAAAAAAGTGTTGATATGACTTATATTCAAGTTATATTCATATTCAAGTCATTAAAGATATGTATACTAGAGCAGTTAGTTGTGTTTGACAAAAGGAGGATTGGCCAAGTATTTTCGTATTTCAGTTGGATTACATCAAGGATCAGCTTTAAAACCCTATCTTTTTGCTCTAGTTATGGATACTCTTACTAGACATCTAGAGGAGGATGTACCTTGGTTTATGCTTTTTACTAATGATATCCTTCTCCTGGCTAAGATTGTGGAGAAAGAGTTTAGAAAAAACTTGAATTATGGAGGTCTACATTGAAGTCTAAAGGCATTTGTTTCAGTTGATCTAAAACTAAATGCATAGAATGTAATTTTAATAGTGGTAGATCTACTCCTAGAGTTGTAACTATGGGGGATCAAATCATTGAAAGGTGTGAACATTTTAGATGTCTTGGGTATTGCTCAAATTGATGATGATTTTATTAGTAGAGATCAAGTTGATTGGTTGAAGTTCAGGAATGCTGCAGGCTTATTGTGTGATAGAAAAGTACTGCTCAGACTTAAAAGAAAATTTTAAAAGATGGTGGTGAGACCTGCAATGCTTTATGGGGCAAAATGTTGGTCTTTAAAAGAGAAGCATAAAACTAAGTTAAATGTTGTTGAGATGAGAATGCTTAGGTGAATGAATGGCTTGACACTTAGAGACAAAATGCGAAACAAATATATTCGTGAAAGGTTTGGTGTAGCTCCAGTGGCGGATAAGGCTAGAGAGAGTCATCTTAGATGGTTTTTTTATATTACATGTCAACTATTTGATAATCTGGTTAGGAGAGTAGTTGCTCTAGATTCGACTTATGTTAAGAAAGGCAGAGGTAGGCCTAAAAATAATAGGGCATATTATATAAACCATGATCTTCATTTATTCGAATTAAATGAAAATATGACACTCAATAAGATACAATGGAGAAAAAGGATCCATGTAGCCGATCCCACATTGGGATAAAGGCTTATTGTTGTTGTTGCTTAAAAGCTGTTTTATAAAAAGCTGCTTTTTAAAGACAAGTAGAAATGATACATCTAAAGTAACTATAAAACAATGTTTTATAAGAAGTACTTCTGAGAGAGTGTTAAATTCAAACAGACTTTAAAATGAAAAAACAGCTTCAACTAAAACTGAAAGCAGTTTAAAAGGTTTTCCAAAGGAAGCCTGGTACTAGTCTCTACAATGCAAGAATAAGATTATTTAGGCTAACTTTTTTCGATGTCCTATAATGACATGGCCCACGATTTAACCGAATAATTTGAAGCTCCGCCATAAAAATGTATATTAATTTTGTTCTTTTAGATTTTGTTTGTCTCCTCCATCCATACTCATTGGAATTACATTGCACTGTAACTTTTATTCTTTAACAAAATAACTGTTGTTAACCATGCAATATTAGGTCTTTCAAATGGATATCCTCATGTATATTCTCAACAAAGTATCATGTCAAACAATGACTCGAGCGCAGTTTTTTTCATTTGCTTTTAGTTATTTGTTTCGTTTTATTTTATAATTTTTAATTTAAACCAGCAACAGATGATGCAGCTGAGAGAGAGAGCAGAGAGAGTTATTTTTTATTTCCTAACATCATATTAGTTCATGTGGTTTGGCATGGTTTGAGTTCTGTTTAGTTTAGGCTAATTTTCACAACCGGTTATTTTGATTTGGATGAATATGGTATCTGCTGGTTTCAGAACTAATAATAGGTGCCTTTTCAGGATTGAGATGATCACTTGTGTGGGATAAGAATTTGTTATTTAAACTTAAGTAGCTGAATTAATGTTATCTTTCCAGGATTAATTTCTAATCGAATTGATTTGATCATATCTACTAGCCTATGAATATTATATTCAGAGGCATATAACCGAACAATGTTGAATGAATAAAATTTCCCTTTCTAATTTTCAGCTTTGTCTGTGCAATTTGCATGTTTGATTCTTTCTGATGCAGCTATCTAAGTTGGCATAATTGAACTAATGTTATCTTCTGGGCATTATTTTCAACTTTGTTTGCTCTTTGTTTATTTCAAATTTGGCATAATTGAAATTTTATTTGCAACTTCAATTACCGTTCTCATTTGTTCCTGCATGCTCGCTGATTTCCTTTATATTATTTATCAATTGTATATATAAAGGAAGAAAGGTATTGAATTAATTGATAGAATTTGATGTGTAAATGAATTCTTTTGAGTTCCTTTGCATGAGTTGGTAAGCTGCATCACTTGTCTCTGTCTTCATTATGCATGCTGGCATGATCTCTTTGTGTTTTATGTTATTGACACTCGTTGGCCAAACATCTTGTGTTTGGGTATGTCGCGTATGCTGTTTTTGAGACGTTTCTTACGCAGACTTAAAATATATAAAACCTAAACTTTAAGTTTTACATACATCCACCTTATCTATATGCATGAAAAGGTTAATTTCTAATTTTAAAAAGTTAAAATGATGATATTTTTTTTATGTAACGTGAAAGATTTGGGCACTTACATACATACCACCAAATTCTCATGTATTTACATATCTAACACCTAAATTTTTTATTTTTTTTTACATTTATGCCATCCAAACCTTTCATACCTCATCAAAAATACCATCATTTTAACTTTAAAAGTAAAATACAACTCTTTATGCATAGGTAAGGTGGTATGCATGTAAAAATTGAAATTTTGTTGTTAGATATGTAAATACCTAGGAATTGAGTGGTAGGCGAGTAAATCTTGCAAAAATTTCTTTGTTTATGCTCATTTGGCTACTAATTTTGGCCCGGATGATAAAACATTCTGATTTGGTGTATTGTTAGATTAATGTCGCAACGAATTGTTTTTCAGATGAACCTCAGAGGTTGTCCATTTTTCTAGGTTCATAGTGGTTTTGGATATACATATATGGCGTTGAAGCTGCTTGTTTTTGAAGCTATCAGCCTCAATCAAGTTCCAGCAGCAATTCAAAGTCCAGCATGATAGCTTGCCCTTCACTAAGTTTGTGCGGAAGGGCTTTTCTTTTCTGTTGGGATTATTTCAAAATTATTTTAGATATATGGAATTATGTCTTAAAGGAGAGAGAAAGGAGAGAGAGATTTGAATCCAACAATTTCTTTAGGGGTATGCAAAGTTATCATTTGTTATTGATATATATTTGTTGCATGCTCATAAAATGGATGACCCTTGTTTTCTTCTCATTGTAACTATTTGTTATTGATAACTACCTAGTTAAGTTTGTTGCATGTAAATCGTATATTTTATAAAAATATCAATTTAATTCGGAGATTTTTTAATATGTGCTGAAATAATCTCAACGGATAATTTTGACATTTTACTACTTTTTAATCTAGACTAGAAAGAGAGATTGTCCTGGAAAATTGATGTCACGGCGACGTTAGTGCAGCACGAGCTGGGGAATTCACATAAATACCACTCATTTTCTATCTATTTACATATCTAATAGGTAAACTTTGTTTTTTTTACATTTACACCATCCAAATATTTTATATCACATAAAAGTGAGATACAACATTTAGTGCGTGGGTTAGGTGGTTTATATGTAAAAATTCACATTTAGGTGTTAGATATGTAAATACATAAGACTTGAATGTGTTATGTATGTAAATATTGATTTTATCTAATATTTTGAGTACTATATATGTAAATAATAGTAGATTTTTTGTTAAATTTACAGTAGTCATGGTTTTAAGTGACAGCAGGTATACTGACCCCCTATTTCCATAGTATATTGCAGCTTCAAAGTTCTGTATACTCAGCTTAGATTTAGCACAAATTGACTTATTTAAAACATGATATATGTGCGCGCGAGTGCATGCGTGCGTGCGACATATATGTGTGTGTGGACGCTGATTAAACAGCTGACTGAAGGCCAATTATACCTGCAAAACGAAAGCGTACTGATGCAATAATTAACACTAGGCTAAAAAAATAGTGTAGAGAGAATGCAAAGAGAAATTACCACAGCCAATTCGAGCCCCTGCATTCCCTGTGCTTTTGCTAAGTTCATGACCACCTATAGGTCGATATATTTAAAATCATCATAAAAGATATGTTATTTGCAGAAATAGAGGAAAAAATTCATAAATTGATGAGCTTAGAGAATATGGTCTTCAATATGTGACTTATTTTGGTTGTATGATAACAGCCACAGATAGCCACAGTTAATTCTTGCAAAGACATTACATCAAACAGCTTGGATATTCTCATTTGATATCATGAAGATTCTGGAAGGTTTTAAAAGTAGAAACCTAATTCAAAGACCAAGTGTGAAAAAAGGAATCGATAAATAAAAAATAAAATCAACACAAAAATATAAAATTTTACCCTATTCACAGCATTGAAGGCTACATCCCTCTGTCACGATTGCAAATTTCAGCATGATTTTGAATGTTAACACGTGACTAAAATCCATTTGGGACAACTTGCTGCTTGCTTTGAGCACTGAACGCTCACTATAATTTTGTTTGAGAAACAACTTTTTGTGCTGCTTCTGAGAAATTTTTATGATAAGATGCTTCTTTTTGTGATCAGATCTATTAAAAAGCGGGGCTATAAAAATTATTGTCGGACATTTTGAAAAAAATTAATACTTATATGTTCTACCACATCAGTTTGAAAAATTGCTTTCCCTGCCATAATTATACAATCATCTTTACGAAAAGCTTCAACCATCCCAAATAGACCCTAATTAAGATTGGAAGAAAAAATTTGGCCCCACAACCTAATAGAAGTTTAATCAGTTAACCATAAAAGTGACATCTAGACCATCATCTTCTTGAATTTGGGAACGCGAATAAGAAAAATCAAAAGGTGAAAAAGTAAAGCCAATGCGCTTCATTCTATATTACAGCTTTGCTTACGTTAATACAACAACAACAACAACAAAACCTTTATCTCACTAAGTGGGGCCGGCTACATGAATCCTTTTTCTCCATTGCGCCCTATTTAGTATCATATTTTATCATATTTATATTTTCATTTAATTCTAATAAATTAAGATCATTTTTTATACAATATGCCAAAGTCATCCTAGACCTACTTATGCCTTTCTCAACAAAAGATGAATCTAAAACATGTACTCTTGTAATAGGATCATCCAATGATAAATTATACATATTACATCATTTTACATGCCAAAGAAAAGAAAAGAAAAAAAAAATGTAGGACCATTCATTAAGGTGGAGACTGAACTGTTGGTAGGAAGTATATCATAAATTGTACAATTATGTATTGCAAAACTTGAAATTAAACAAAACTCGCATTTATGCTTAGATGCCTTGATTGTTAAAGCTGCAATTGAACATCTCATCTTCAATGTTTATTAGATGTTCTGTATTGTTGCTTTTCACGTTACTTGGTTCTTGCTAAAGATTATGTTTTCTCCATTTCTATCATTTGTGGAGGGTGGAGGATATTAAGTAACCTAGTGATCCTGCAATGCCAATAGGTCAAGTGCTGATCTTGCTTATGTTATGAACTTAGATGGATATAGAGAAGAGCCAATGGAGTTCTAGAAGGTTGGAAACGGCCAAAATTTCTTTTATTATAGATCAAGGCTATCCAAAATAAGCACAAACGCACATTTAATGCGACCAAACCATCTAAGACGACTCTCTCTAATTTTGTCCGCCACTAGAGCTACGCCAACCCTATCACAGGTATATTCATTTTGTATTTTGTCTCCAAGTGTAAAGTCACTCATCCATCTAATCATTCTCATCTCGGCAACACTTAACTTAGTTTTATGCTTCTCTTTTAAAGGCCAACACTCAACGCCATAGAGCATTGCAGGTCTCACCACCATCTTATAAAATTTTCCCTTCAGTCTAAGCGGTACTTTTCTACACAATAGGTCTGAAGCATTCCTCCACCTCAACCAACCAACTTGAATTCTACTAATAACATCCCTATCAATATCACCATCACTTTGAACAATAGACCCGAGATATCTAAAACGTTCACATCTTTTAATAATTTGATCACCCAAATTTACATTTATGTCACTAGAGCTACTACTCCTAAAATTACATTCCATGTATTCAATTTTAGTTCTACTTAATGAAGGCCTTTAGACTCCAAGGTAGACCTCCATAATTCAAGTTTTTCCTCAACTTTTTTTCTCGTCTTATCCATAAGAAGGATATCATCAACAAAAATCATACACCAAGGTACATCCTCCTGTAAGTGTCCAGTAAGACCATCCATAACTAAAGCAAAAAGATATGAGCTTAAAGCCGATCCCTGATGTGAGCCAAGAGAAATAGGAAAATATTTGGCTAATCCTTCTTTTGTTCGAACACAAGTAACAGTTCTTGTATACATATCTTTAATAACTTGAATATAAGTCATATCAACACTTTTTTTCTCAAGAACTCTCCAAATGATATCTCTTGGAACCTTATCATAAGCTTTTTCTAAATCAATAAAAAACATATGTAGATCCTTCTTATTATCTCTGAACTTCTCCATCAAACCTCTCAATAAGTGTATAGCTTCCACAGTAGACCTGCTTAACATAAATCCAAATTGATTAAGAGAAATCATTATAATACCGTCTTAAACTATGTTCAACTACCCTCTCCCATAATTTTAAAGTATGACACGTCAACTTAATTCCTCTTAATTGACACACTCTTGTGCATCTCATTTATTCTTAAAAATGATGACTAAAACACTCCTCAGGCATCTTTTTAATTTTTAAAATAATATTAGAGGGTTTAGTAAGCCAACAAACTCCCAAATTCCCTAAATATTTCATACTTCAATTGGGATATCATCAGTTCATACAACCTTACCACCATTGGTTTTCTTCAAAGCCTCCTTAACTTAATTTTTACTAATGTGACGATAAAAATGAAATATTTTATTATTATTAACGATATTAAGAGCACTAAGGTAGATTGCATTTTCTAAAACTTCATTAAAAAGTTTATCAAAATAACTCACTCACCTATTTTGAATATCATTTTCTAAGAAAAGCACTTTTTGATTTTAATCTTTAATACACTTTACTTGAGTTAAATCTTTATTTTTCTTTTCTCTTTGTTTGGCTAGTTTATACATATATTTTTCACCTCCTTACTATCTAATATATTATAAAGGTCACTAAAAGCAGAATTTTTAGCGTCACGGATTGTCTTCTTAGACTTCTTACGGGTCGTTTGATATTTTTCACAGTTCTACAATTTTGCATTTAAACCAATTTTTATAGCATATCTTCTATATTTTATCTTTTCTTGCACATTATTATTCCATCACCAACTATTTTTATTTATAAAAACTTTTTCTTTTGATTCTCCAAGTGCAATTTTTGCCACTTCTTTAATTTTTTTTTTTTACTTTATTCCACATAGAATTTGCTTACCTTAATGATTAAGCTAAAAAATTTCTAGACAAGGCTTCAACCTAGAATGTAGTTTTAAAAAGAGTCCTTGGAAACATATTGAATAATTTTGTTAAACTCTAGCTACTCTAAGCATTTCAAATAAACTTGTCGTTCCCATAAAAAAAGAGGGGGCCTTTACATGCATACTATCACCTAATTCCATTGTATTTACATATCTAATACCAAAACTTTACTTTTTTGCATTAATACCACCCAAATATTTCGTATCACATAAAAATACCACTATTTTAACTTTGAAAAGTGAAATACACCTTTTCATACATGTAAAAATTGAATTTTAGGTGTTAGATATGTAAATACATAAGAATTGACTATTGAGTGGTATGTACGTAAATCTTCCAAAAAAAAAAAAAAAAATGCACGAGATGGTATGAGCATATAAATAGGTTTGTAAGAAAATCACAAAGTTATGAATCGTTTTAGCCCTACAAGCAAACGAATACAAATTTATGGATTATAAATTGATTTCCATACGAATTGCATCAGCTCAAGAATTAGTTGACTCCAGAGAATTCATAAACCTCTAGAGGTTGGAATAAGCATGCCACCGCAACAACTTTTTTTATTTTTTTACCAAGTCATAACATTATATATCCTTTAACAAGGCATACATGCAGCCCAATATAGTAAATATATACCTCTTCCATATAAACATAAATACTGAATTTTTATTTTTTAATAGTTATATGTATTTTTTAGATTTAATTATTTTATTAGGACTGCTGTAGCTAAAATTAGTAAAGTTGCTGGTTTCTTAACAATTTTTTTATCTATAAATATGAGAATTATTAATCATTGAAGACAGTTTATCGCTTAGTTAAAAAATTTGGGGGTTTATATACATACCACAAAATTCTTATGTATTTACATATATGCCACCCTACCGATGCACAAAAAGGTGTATTTCGCTTTTTAAAACTAAGTTAAAATAGTCTTTATTTGTATATGATATGAAATTTGGGTGATATAAATGTAGAAACAGTATAGTTGTTAGATATGTAAATATATAAGAATTGGGTGGTATGCTGTTAATGCCCAAACTAAAAAACAGGACTCTTATTAATTGACTAAAAAGCTTTGAGAGAAAAATAAATGCATATCATATAATTGAAATGAATGAAAAATTAAAAAGGCAAAATGAGTAATAAAATGATAAGTATTCATACCCCTTCCCAGATCATCCGGATCAGCATGAACCACCAGAGCCCTTCCCAGTATAGAATTTGGTCCGCTTAGCGGAATCTTTAGAGAGTGAGAGAGAGTGTTATAAGCTGTATACTAAAAATCTTAAGGAATGAAGAATGAGAAACAGATAATAATAACATGATCTCTAAACCTGTAAATCCTTTAACCATACGTTAGCAACCCCTGTGATGAACATATCAAGATAAGTATAGCAATTAGGAGAAAAGTATCAACAAATAAAAAACAAAAGTTACGGACAAACCATGCTCGTCAGCTGAAACATTTCCCAGGTCGCCAGCATGCCGTTCCACATCATCTGGAGCTCCATGAAGCTTATTATATGGATTAAAATGAGGGCCTGGCACCAAACAGAAAAAAAAAAATGTGATGTCAGACAAAAAACAAATTATCCTAAAATCACATTAGAAGTTTCCACCTAAAAGCAATAATATGAAACATTTGAAGCAATGTTTTATCATAATATTTTTTGTAAAAAGGAAAAAATAAAGATATCAGAAATCAGAAAAAATTAATTGGTAAGATTTCTTATTACAGGTTAATAAAAATTGTGTTTTCATTCCTTGTTTGAAACAAAGGTGCATCTTAAGTAACATGGAGAGTAAAAGTAATGGCCTTAACAAGATTGTAACTTAGAGATAAATGATTACAAGAATGCAACAGAGCACATCAAAAAGAGCTTATTCTATCAGGAAGCATGGGAGACGCACTAGTGTAGTGATCAAGAAAGTTATGATGTCTATATATACATACACACACACACACACAGATATATATATGTGTATGTATATATGTGTATGTATATAACCTCAATCGGAACACTCCGAGGCAAATTTATGAGAGAACTAGAGAGTTCATTAGGGTTGATGCATCATGACCTAACCCAATAGTCATGAGAGGAAAGCTTTGTTAGAATGTCACGCCAAAGTGAAGTACCACAACTTGATGTATATGTTGTGAAAAAATAGGCAAAGTTGGCTAAGATGTCACATGCAAGAGAAACTATAGCTTAATCCAATTGAGATGAAAAAAGAGCAAAGTTAGATATACTATAAAACTAAGATTATCAAATTAAGATAACAAATAAGTAAAGATTGCCTTAGTATGAAATAAACATTGGATTTGCTACAAGGCATTAGGGGACTTTGAATGGGAAGACAAACGATTGGTTGGCACAATGATTAAAATAAAAATATAAAACGGACTGGGGAAAAATTCCTCTCATGTGGCTCCAACTTTCTGGAAGCACAAGTTATTAACCCTCTATTTTGCATTAAAATGCATCCCAAGCATCGCAATGATGTGCCACTGTAAATTTGGAATCATTGTGTTCATGATGGATAGCTAGTACTAGAGCAATAGTCAAGTATTTCCTTAAATCTTGAAAAATGTGCTTGTATTTTTCATATAACTAGTACTAAAGCAGTAGTCAAATATTTCTTCAAATCTTGAAAACTGTGCTTGTATTCTTCTGTCCACTCATAATCGATATCTTTTCTCATCGACTTGAATAATGAAATGATTTTCCGTGAAAAACTTTTGAAGAACCTCATGTAATATCCAGCCAAACCAAAAAAAATTATGGGTGATTTGCACTTCATCGTCTCAAAATCAAACAAATAATAATCATGAAATTTGTAGAGAATTCTGAAACAAATCCAACAAATAAAAATCATGTAATTTTGATAATTAATGTGATAGATACACCCAAATTAAATAAATGGTTTCGTGAGGATTTGAGAATTATAAGTAATTTGAGGATTGGAATCAGCCATTTGCATGAAAGTATTACTAGATTGACCTATGAATCTATGAAAACAAAAATTTTATGATTTCGATAAAGATAAGGAAGATACACCCACATTACCAAAAGTGTGGTTCTTCACTTATAAGTGATTTGCACCATGTCGAATAAAAATCGACCAAAATTGCCTGTCTTTAAAGGGAGAGTATGCTTTGGAATGGTTAGCAGTTACTACGTGAAAAAGGCTTTCTGGTATTAGGTTAGGGTTAGCAAGACCAAATGAGAAGAACAAGGAAAAGAAAAATTTGTTTATCGCTTTTCATATAGTTCATACTAGCATTGAAAGCAGATGTTGTAGCCAAACTTCGATGCGGACAGAAAGGGCATAAAAGAAAACAAATGAATCAGCGAAATGTGACAGCAAAATTAAAACCTAGAGCATATAACATTAAATTTAGGGAAAATTTACAGACCACACAATCTTATGTATTGACATTTCTAACACCCAAGGCTTAATATTTATACTTATAATGCCTTGATATCATAAACATGTGAATGAAAATATGTGCTTCACTTTTAAAAACAAGTGATGGAGATATTTTTGATGTGATGTTAATGAGTTGAGAGGTATGCTTGTAAATATGAATATTTACCTGTTAGATATGTAAATACATGAGAATTTTGTGGTGTGTATGTAAATGCCCCATAAATTTATCTCAGCAAAAGTGAGTTAAGGGCAGAATAAAAATAATGGTTATCAAATAGTTCGAGCAAATTAACAAAATAAAAGATACAAGTCCACAGTGATACCAGCATCAGAAAGCATCCAAGGAGATATAAATGAACTAGAAAAGCTCAAGTAAAACAGTCCTAGAATAACAATAAGAAAATGTAATAGTGAATTGTGGATCTGCAATAGAATGGAAATGTTGAATTATTAATCAAACTTATATTAACTCTGAAAAATTAGGCATGTTCAATCTTCTTTATAATTTTCAGAATATTTTTTTCCTAAGGCAATAAGTAATGTAAGCTCCAACATGATGGATCTTAGGCAATAAGCAATAGGTTGGTTAACTGCAATTCACAGAAATTTTGTCTGCCTAAACTAGAAAAACCGTTCCCTGAGAGATTGAAATTATTTAAACGGTTGGTGCAATTATTACTTTGCAGCTATGATTGTTAATCATAGGCCCAAAAAAAATCATAACGATTTGTTAAATTTAAGCATTTAAAAAAATATGAATTCAAAATTGAAATTAGAGAGGAATAAAATTGAACAAACCGCGAGTTGTTTATTTTAAATCAATTAATATTTTTTTAGACACTCCAAGTAGTTGAGATGGTAAAACCCATTGAATGCTATGAACTATTGTAAACAATCATATCCAAATAGTTGGGACGATAAAAGGCATTGAATGTTATGAACAATTGTGATCAATCATATTGTCTGATTCTTTTATATTGATTTATAGTATTTGATTAGCATGTATATTATTCAACTTTTGTTATATTATTATAGCTTAGGAGTATAAATACCACTAAAGTTTTAGTTCATTGTTGTTTTAAACTAAAATTTTAGATTTATTTAATTAATTAAAAGATCAACAATACAAGAAAAATATGTTTATAGAAGATGCGGACATCCTGACCTACACTAAATTTATAAGTGTTTTAATTTAATCTCTTTTCTATAGTGGTTCTTTTACTTGTTAGATTTAATTGTAGAAAATGAATATAGAAAATTTTAATTTCCACAATCCAACAGTATGTACCCATATTGGTTAATTCCAATCTCCGGGTTGGATGGTGGCGGATAAATATAAAGATGATGATTAGTATTGTTTTAGACAAGCGCCCTGGTTTTGAAAATTTCAGCAAATCCATTGCGGTTAAAGAATATATTTTGGTTTTTTATTTTAATTTATTTTATTTGCACAATTTCTAGGAGGTATTGATCCGTCGGAAGGTTCTTATTGTAAGATTTACACTGAACTAGTGACACATAGACTCAGGTAAACATTCATTGACGTTGAAGATATTACAAAACAGAGGAAGATCTCATGACCGAATAGCAAAAGGGTCTGTAATCGGCATCAAGCATCACTAACATAACGTAAGGTGAAGAGTTCAGAGCAGATGATCAAAACTCAAATCCGATAATCAAATCCAAAAACCCTATAAACCGGAAACATACATTTTCTCCATTCTCGATGAAATAAGAAACCTTCTCCGGAAGGGCGCGGCGATTGTTCAAACCAACTATCTAAATTTAGGGGGAAAAAGGGATATATGATCTAACCCGTCGAGTTGCAGCCGTTAGTGGTGTCTCCGAAGGCGTGAATGTGTAAACCATGGAGGCCGGGGGAGAGGCCAGTGACCTTACCCCTCACGTGTGTGAAACCGGTGGATGGGTCCTCAAAGAGGTTGAGAGATCCTCCTACGGTACTGTTACCGGAGTTGCTGCCGGAGATGAGAACCACTCCCTTGAGGATGCCTCCGGCCGACATCCTTGACTTTCTTCGCTACTCCCGCATCCGCCGCCCTTCTCGGCTTCAAAAACTGAGACATCGGATAAAAGCCTGCTCAGTCACTCCAGAAAAAAGGAAGATTTACATAAAGACAGCTCAGTTTTTATATATTTACAAATGTAACACCTAAGCTTTTTTTTTTACATATTTGCTATCTTATCTGTGCATAAAAATAAAAATGTATGTTTTAATTTTAAAAAATAAAAATATTGGTATTATTAGTGAGATATGAATGATTTGTGTGATATAAATGTAAAATTAAAATTTAGAGTTTAGGGTTATAATTACATTTAAATGAAAAATAAATATATATTAATTTTGAATCTTTGATCCAAGTAAAAAATAAGATATGTTGATTGACAGAGTAAAGTTAGAAAAATTAATATGTTCATGATTTGTCCGTATTAGAGAAAAAAAATGTGCATTCAGTTATGTAAATTATATGTGTGCTAATAAATGAACTTCATTGATCAACGTGCATGTTAAAGGGCCAAAAACACAATTACGACATGTTGACTGTCGAGATGGCCTCCCAGCCTCACCTGCCCATGTGTCAATTATTATTTCTCCGCCACAACAGTGATATAACTGCCTCACCTGTTAATGTGTTAGTTGTCATGTCAATCTCACAATTGTCGTCTCCCAGGAACATCTAAATGCTCAACTTCAACGACCAACAATCAACAGCCTAGCCGTATACAACTATATAAATTATATATGCGTGCTAGTAAATGAACTTCATCGATCAACATGCATGTTAAAGTGCCAAAAACACAATTACGACATGTTAACTGTCGAGATGGCCTCCCAACCTCATCTATCGATGTGTCAATTATTGTGTTTCACCCGTCAGAGTGATATAATGATCAACTTCTTCCACGGTTATAAAACCACATGTTTCCTAAGTATTTAAATGTTTAACACCTAAATTTCACTTTTTATATAAATGTCCTTGTGATATTTCATATCACATCTAAAATATCACTATTTAAACAATTAAATTGTGAAATACACATATTCATGCATAGGTCATGTGACTTGTATGTGAAAATTGAAGTATAAGATTTAGATATGTAGATATATAAAAATAAAGTGGTGTGTGTAAATCCTACTATTTAATTATTTGGTAAGGTAACTTGTGGCTTAAAAAATATTAAAATATAGATAAATTATATATTTAGTAGAAATTCAAATAGTTTTTTTTTTTTTTTTCTATTCAATATGTTAAACTCCTAATAATGATTAAGCTTTTCAAGGATTTCACCTTAAACAATTTCATTTATATGAAATAAGTTTAAGAACTTTCCATGGATTAAAGTGGCCAAATAAGTGCTTGTTGAGGGGGAGGGTGACCATATTTGACATGAATTTTCTCTACTCTTATTTGATTATTGGTTCAATTTATAAATATACAAAAAAAAAGCTTAAAGAAATTTAGCATTTGGGGATTTTCATTTTTTTTCCAACAAAAAGACTTTAAAGTGTGTCATTTAGATAAGTTTGATTTTAAATTCATTATTGGATAAATTTAATATTTTTTTTAAAATTTAATATTTTTATAAATTTATCGTATTTAAATCTTTTTGCATGAAATTATGGTTATAAAACAAATAAGAATAGGTTTTTTGGGATAATTTTCTTTTTTTTTATTTTTTTATAATTTTATTTAATTTTATTTATTTTTATCTTGAAATAAAATACATTTGACATGTTTAAAAAAAGAACAAATTGTGTTTAAATATTCAAAAATAAATTAATTATGTTGATTTTTTGAATGTGTATGTGTGTGTTATATTTGTTTTTAAAAAAAGAAACAAAATTTATAACAAATGTTCCCTAAATATTAAGATCTTACTATTTTGGTCTTCTCAAAATTTATTAAAATCAAATATATCATATTTAGTAAGTCATATCAAGTTTGAGGGCTCTTTGGGGGCTCTTTGACTACTTTTGGGATTTAAGTTAATAGGATATATTAAATCTTATGAATTTAAAATTACTAAACCATACAATGATTTAGTCCAAAAAAAGCTGCTTAGCAATGAATTTAATAGATGCAATAAATTCTGATGTTTGATAACTTTTAATGTGATTTATAATGTGTGTCGTAAGGTCTGCAATGGTAGAGCAATTATTTAGTGTTTTAGCATTGTACGAGACTTCATCACATACTCATATAATAAAGGATAAGTAAAAAAGAAAGATACACCTTGATTTTCACATGTAAAGCTCTGAAAAAAAGAAAAACCCATGTAGTTTGTCACAGTTGAAATGATCCACTATGAATAGTGAGTCCATGGGTCTACTATTCTCCTTAATTAGAGAATATACAGTTACAGGAAGATTATTAAAAATGTATAATAATGGTTCGTTGATTATAGTTGCGCTCTATTATAGTGAATATAGTTACTGGTGATAGTAAGTTGTAGAGACTGCAGTCAATTATTATAGGGACATTAGTCCATCGTGAATGTTGCAGAAACTTATAACGCCAGCTTGTCGCATAAATCGTAGTTAAATGTCACGGTGGTACTTGGCTATGTAGGCCGTAAATGATTGATTCAAGGGTGTCCACTGGCCACATTTGTAGTACGGTTGCAATAATAGGAGGTTGTTGGGGTTGTGAGTCATGTAAGCTATAACAATGAGTTATGATGATGTCCATAAGGTACAAGGGCAGGACTTAGAAGTAGCATGAGTTGTGAGTTACTTATGTTACATTTGTTCATGTAGGCTGTAGTGGCGAGCTATGACAATGTTTGTATGTTGCAGGGTAAGAAGTCGAGAGTTGCATGAGTTGTAAGCGTATAAAATAGTTAGTCATGTAGGCTACAATGACGAACTTTGAGGGTACCCGTAGGATGCATAGAAGTAGTATAGACCTACACTAATTGTAAGACACCTAATTGACTGTTGGACATGTAGATCGTAATGGTGAATTATGACAAATTTCATTGGTAGAGGGTAGGAAGTGTCAGGAGCTACACGAGTTATGTCTTTTGAGTTGTAATGTTGTATGTAGGTCATAAAGGTGAGAGTTGAGAGCTGCGCGAGTTGTGGATAATTTATGCAGTAGCTGGTCACATAGGCCATAATAGTAAGCAGTATGGGTGTACACGAGTCGAACATGAGCGAGCTCGGAGTTTGTTCGTGTTTGGCTTGTTCAAAATTTTATGTGTTTGAAACGAGCTCGTGTTTGAAACCTCATTAATAGTTATGTTAATGTTCAATTTGATTTAAATTTAAATTTACTCGTATTTAGCACAAATTTAAGCTATTTAAACCTACATTCAAATATTTTTTATTATGGAATTTTTATCAAAATATGAGAAATCTTAAATAATAATTTATAACTTTTAAAAATTTCCCAAAATATGAGGTTTCTGAAAATTTTTACTAAAAATTTTAGCTTGCTTTAGTTATATGTTCAGTCAAGTCACGTTGCTTACATGTAACAACTTAAGTATCAGCATCTGATCCGGATAAGCTTATTGGCTGTTTGGTTTGTGCTGTTCAAAAATAGTTGATTTGCAGCTGATTGTGATAAATGACTATTATTCCTTTGTGCAGTAATGGCGTTGCAACAAAATTGTTATAATAGTATATTAGATACATAAGAAACAAAAAACAACTTCAAAACAATTAAAAATAAGATAGATACCTCATATAACAATGAGTGTAAAGTGTACTGAAAAAAAAAAGAAAAAAGTATTAAAATTATATTTAAAATTTGATAATATTAATTTTAAAATCCATAGCCCAGTCCCAAGCCAACTACCAACAAGGCATAAACCATCTCGCATCACAGCCACAACCCACCCCCATCACAGCTTCATCATAACCCCCACACAGCCACAGCCCAGTCCCAAGACAGCCACGAACTAGACAGAAACCACCTCCCATCACAACTCCATCATAACCCTCAAACACACCATCCACCACTAACATATAGGCTCAAGCCCAACACAACACACACCCAAAGCCACTACACAACCTCCACGCGCCACCAACAAGCTACAACACCCACAACCACCAACAGAGCCGCCACAACCACTGATAAGCTCCACACCCACAGTCACCAACACAACCTCTAAATCCACTAACACACACACACTCACATCCACCACCCTCTCACAGACCTAAACCCAGCACAGCACACACCCGAAGTCACAAAAAAGCACATCACCCACAACCACCAACACAACCTCCACATGCCACCAACGACGACAATGCCCACAACCACCAACACAACCTCCTGAGCCACCAACACACACACTCACATCCACCACCAAACCCACAAACCCGAGACCAACACAACACACACCCAAAGCCACCAACAAGCACATCACATGCAATCCAACAAAGCCTCCACATGACACCAACAAGCACATCACTCGCAGCCATCAACACAGACTCCACATGACACCAACAAGCAAAACACCCACAGCCTTCAGTGCCATCAACACACACAAACTGACATCCACCACCAACCTGTAGGCTTAATCACAACACAACACACACCCAAAGCCACCAACAAGCACATCACTCATATCCACCAACACAGCCACCCACCCACACACACTCAAATCCACGGACACCCAAAGCCACCACCTCACAAGCACGTCACTCATATCCACCAACACAGCCACCCACCCACACACACTCAAATCCACGGACACCCAAAGCCACCACCTCCACCACTAGATAACATAACAATCATCATAACTGCCATCATACTCAACACACTTCTCACATCAAATTGAACAAGAAATAATCTCTAGAGTATGTAATAAATGCTCAAATGTTGCTTAAAGGCTCATTTGAACACACAAAATGAAATAATAATTCACCAAGCAAGCACGAGCAATGAATATGCCAAACACATCAATGTATCTGAAACAATGCAAGTAAACTAATCAAAGCCATTCCATCATAAATTATCACAGGATTAACTACATGTATATCTATAAATGAAGCACGCTCTTCTAGCCATTTGCCAGATTTTAGACCAAGCCAAGAGCCATTTGCCAGATTTTAGATCAAGCAAAGAAAAATAGAAACAATATGGAATGTAGATTTTAGGCAATTACATCCAAAACACTCCTAACATTGCTCCAGACAAATCAACAACTCAATTTCATTTATTTATACAGTCTTTAGTAAAACAACCAATCTCAAAATTTGCAGGAAGAAATAAAAAAATCACACGAAGAAATCCATTTCATAAAAAATTACCATGGGAATAACCAAAGTTACCGAAGATCGTAGAGGGGAGGAAGAAGAGAAAGGGAAACATATTCGTGAGAGAAATAGAGCACGAGAGAAAGTACCGTGAGCGATCGACGCAAGAGAGACGAGAGTAAGAGCGATCAATGTTAGGGCGAGGTCAAGGGCAGATGAGACACGAGAGAGGCGAGATCGAGGGAAGCGAGGTAAAAAAATTGCAAATGAACACGGGCCGCGGGATCGATCCAACAGCCGCATTTATTAAAAAGTCAAATACGATGTTTCCCAAAATGCAGCCCGAACGCATGAATCAAATGGGACGACTGAGTTTTGAAAACGCCGCCCACGATTATAAGATGCCCCAAAGGGGGCCTTAGTTAGTAAGCAGCAGAGATGTGAGCATTACGAAGGTGGGAGTGGGACCAAAGAGGAGTGGCAAGATGGTTGGGAATTGGGAAGCGATTTTTTGCATTTTGGCAACCTTTGGGGTGCGGAGGGAGGGCTTCACCAAAATTTATTTATAAAATTTTCTTACACTTCAGTAACTAATTCTTATGTATTTATATAATTCAATATGAGAATTTTATTTTTATCCTAACCTAAATTTATTAAAATATAATAATTATTTAAATATAATGTAAAATTTTAATACATAAATATTATACTAATATTTTTATTATTATTTAATTAATTTGAGTCAAATCGAGCCGAACACGAATGAACAAGTCTTTGTACGTGTTCGTCTCTTTTATATATCAAGCTAAAAAAATGTGCTTATTTGCTTAATGAATGAATCGAACAAAAGCTACTTAGCGAGCCGAACAAGGGTTGTTCGTAACCAATGAGCTTTTTTGACAGCCCCAGCTAACAACGATGATATCTATTGGCGACAATGATAGGAGTCGGAAGCTGCATGATTTGCACACCACACAGGTGATAGTTAGTTGCATAGGTTGTGGCGATGAACTTAGATGACATTTGTAGGCAGTGTGAGCTGGAGTCGGGAGTTGCATGGAGCGAGCTTTAAGAGTCAGGAGAAAGTCATCATCTTCGGGATGTATTATTGCACCTTCTACACTATAAGTGAGATACGTAGTTACTTTGTAATGTACATCGAGATTTTATTGTGCACATTGCGACTTTACAAGAAACTTCGTTACAAGGAGCACACGATGGTAAATGATGGTTGATGGTAGCCAACAACGGGGACTAGAGTTGACTTGCAGAAGCAGAAGCGTGAAGCCAATGGTGGTTGGTGGCTACATGTGTAGGAGGCTGGCGGTAGTCGTGCGGTAGTTGACAGTTGCAGAAACATGCCACAATGGTCTATAGTGGTTGACAGTTGCAGGAGTAGAAGAGCAACGGTGGTTGATAGTTGCTTAAGTGAGAGATGTAGGTTGTAACATTATTGCAAAATATTGGGCTTCAACTCCCTCTTCTCGAGGTTCAGGCCTCTCTATTGCTTAAGACCCCTCCTCAATAAGGTGGTAGTGATTTATTTATAGAGTCCATATTGCAAATAATAAATGAGTCCAAATCACTCTTGATTAGACAACATGAAGAAATCACTTCGATCAAATAATGTTTAATAAAAAATTGAGTGTTTTAATGATGTCAGAGTTGAGTTATTTTATGCCCATTAGATTCTTCTCACCGAGATGCTCGATTTGACTATTAGCATGTCAAATTCAAAATACATTTGACTTTTTAATTATGTGTTGAAAGCTTTTAAAAATAGTTTAGTGACTTGAACTGGCCATATGTCTGGGATTATACAATTTTTGCTATTGTATGGTCGGTCTTGTCGAGCAAGTTAGTTTGAATATAAGTTTGCTAAAATCATTATTTCAAATGACTTTTCATTGAAGTTTAAATGTTCATTGCTCACATAATTTTCTCGAAATTCGCGCCATGTCTCGAGATTCATGCCGACTAACGGATATTTGTTGATGATGAATCAATTTAAAAAACTACCAAGTTAACAAAGTAGAAACAAAATTAAGTTTTGATTATTTTATCACTATAACAAAAATTAATGATTAAATTTCTCAATTTTAAATTCATTTTTAATCATGCCATTAATAATCAAATTATTCACTAAATTAATTAACCGGCAATAAAAAATAAATAAGTAATTATTTATTAAGCAATAGTTTAACATTTATATATTAATAATTATTTTGTTATTAAATATATTAATTAATAGTTACATAGAATTTTATTAAATAAATTAAATTTTAACATATATTAATTTTTTTCAATTAATTATTAAATAATTACATATAAAATTATATTATTGTAACTAATCTGATTGTATATTAATTAACTATTAATTATTAATCAATAATCAATTAAGTATAAAATAAACTTAAAAACCATTAAATTAAAACCACAAACTTAACAAACCCTCTCAGGCGGCACCGGTTTGGCCCAAAAGTCCATCGGTCTCTGCTCGAAGCCCTCGTCTCTGTACCTTCCCCTCTCCCGCTTTCGGCCGGCAACGACGGGATCGCGGCGGCGTACAGAGACCACAGAGACTCAAATCTGTCTACTCCTTCCGCTCCGATACTATCCGAAATTATTGATTAAGGTCAGCCTGATTTACTAAATCCGGGATTTTCGCCGAAAATTTGCGAAATCCGGATTTAGTAAATCCCAGGATTTAACCTGTTCAAATTAGTTGTCAGGCATGATTTAACTTCAACCCTGATTGAATCATGCTCCAAATCCTTTGCCAGACAGGGCCAAATGATTCGCATTTCTTCCATTGCTACCGGTTCATGACAGAGGGGCCCTCCAAGAGGCGGTTATCGGATTCTGATGGCCGCTGGCTTGGCGACAACATCAATTAAGGAAGGTAATTATAATTATTCAGTCTATATCAATCTCAACAAGACTAATAAAATCATAATGAATGTAATTAAATATATTGATTAATGATTAATTATTAATTACTCAGATGTTTAGAAATACTTATATTTAGGAAAATTAAATAAAAAATAATCTATTTAAGTTTGTATTTTTAATTAACTAATATTTAATATAAAGTTTGTTTAATTTTCTAATTAATATATATATATATATATTAGTAATAACTTGGCCACAAAAAAAAAGATAATTTCCAAGGATTGGCAAATATTAATAATGTTAATTAATAAAATTTTATTAGTTTTATTTACATTAATTAACTTGTAATTAATATAAATTAATGTCATATTTAATCATTGTTTAATAATTTATAAAATTAATTAACTAGAATAACTTCAATTTACCAAGTTAAATCACAAATTATATTAATTTATTTAGATTAAAATATCTTTTAATCAGCTAATATTAAATATTAATATGAATTTAGTTTTAAATTAATATATTTTATTTAATCAAGTAAAATTTGAATTTATATACTCTATAATTGCCTAATAGGGGTATTTTAACATATCTTTCCATTGTTTTTAGTCGGAGAAATATCTCCTAAAGCTCTTTTGGGATGAAAACTGAACTGTTATGTTCCAAGCATTTCACCCTCTATTCATTGGGCATTTTCTATCTTTTTTTTCTTAAGCCTTTCGCAAGCATCTCTTAGGGTGCATTTGGGGCGGCGGTCCGGTGCTACACCACTGTTTTTTGGTTTTTGACAAAACTCGTTTTGCTTGTGTTCTTAAAAAACTATAGCTAAAAGCTGGTTTTTCACACCAGATTTGGCTAACTGCTGTGGGTGTCAAAAAACTACGGTCTGAGTTTTTCAAAAAAAAAAAAAAAAAAAATGTTGCCGCAGTTTTTTGAGTAGCAGTTTTACAGCCACTACACCAAACAAACTCTTATTTTAATTTACATTTTAAATTTTTTTACTTAAATTATAATGCATCCCCGCACCTCAGTGACTCCAACTCTCCTCTTTGGTTATAATAGTCACGAGAATGAATGGGTTGAATTTGCGAGCTTTGTTTGAACCATATATTTGACAATAGGTTAGAATCACGGGTTCAAAAATAACCTTCGAATGATGGGTTGAGGTTTGAATAAGTCTTGAATCTAAATATTTTGTTTGAACAATGTTAAAAGTTAGGTGTTGGCCATTAGATTTGGACTAAACGTTTAAAATAGAGGCTCAAACAAATGTTTGAAAGATAGTTTTGAATAAAGATTTGAACTTCACAACTTCATATTTGAACTTATAATTTTACCATAGTTTCAGAAACTAGGTTAAAACATAGGTTTGATTTATGCTTGAAAAACTAATAATATATTCAAACACAGTTCAAACAAATGCTCAAACTTATTTATATAGTATCTGTACAAACTAATCTTCAATTTGATTGTCCTGAATGGAATCGTGGAGTGTATGCAACCTAGTACGTTATTTACTTTGTATCAAAGCAGATATTCAAAAACTTGCAAATTATTGTATGCAGTTCTTCATAGAAAAACTACATGCAGATTCATTTTGGATCTATGGCATTGCTTATTGGAACCATTAATTGTTTATTCTGTTGTCCACTAAAGTTCCAATAAATTTTATTGTATTACTTGTTTTTCTCCTTATAATGTAAGAATGTAGTTGTTTGATTCACCTGAAGAAGAAAATGTTACAAAAATAAAAACAAACAATATGATTGTCTAATTTGAACAAGATTCAAACTATATTCAAACAAAGGTCATGCCTTTGTTGACTAGTTACAAGCTTAATAAAATCAAAATTGAAATCTTCGAACTTTGTTGGAAACATGTTATAACCTGGTTGAACAAAGTTAGAATCTTATCCAATTAAGGTTTGAATCATGTTTGAAAATTTTACAATCATTACAACAACAACAACAACAACAAAGCAGTATCCCACTACGTGGGGTCGGCTACATGAATCCTTTTTCTCCATTGCGTCCTATTTAGTGTCATATTTTCATTTAGTTCTAATAAATTAAGATCATTTTTAATACAATAAGCCCAAGTCTTCCTAGGTCTACCTCTGCCTTTCTTAACACAAGTCGAATCTAAAACATCTACTCTCCTAATTGGATCATCTAATGGTCGACGTTTAATATGACCAAACCATCTAAGACGACTTTCTCTAATTTTGTCTGTCACAGGAGCTACACCAACCCTATCACGAATATATTCATTCCGCATTTTGTCTCTAAGTGTAAAGCCACTCATCCACCTAATCATTCTCATCCCGGCAACACTTAACTTATTATTATGCTTCTCTTTTAAAGGCCAACATTCAGCGCCATGGAGCATTGCAGGTCTCACCACCGTCTTATAAAATTTTCCTTTCAATCTTAGCGGTACTTTTCTATCACACAAAAGGCCCGAAGCATTCCTCCACTTCAACCAACCAGCATTCATTAAAACGTTTATCAAAGTAACTCACCAACCTATGTTGAATATCTTTTTCTAAGAGAAGTACTTTTTGGTTTTCATCCTTAATATACTTTACTTGAGTTAAATCTTTACTTTTCTTTTCTCTTTGTTTGACTAGTTTATACATATATTTTTCACCCTCCTTAGTATCTAATCTATTATAAATATCATTAAAAACAATATTTTTGGTGTCACCGATTGTTCTTTTAGACTCCCTGCGGGCCGTCTGATATTTTTTCCAGTTCTCTAAGCTTTTACATTTGAACCAATTTTTATAACATAACTTCTTATATTTTATATTTTCTTGCACATTATTATTCCACCACCAACTATTTTTATTTGTAAATATTTTTTCTTTTGATTCTCCAAGAACATCTTTTGCTACCTGTTTAATAGCGTTTGTTACTTTATCCCACATCACATTTGCTTCTTCATGAAAATCCCAAATTTTGAAATCTTGAATTTTACTCATAAAATTAATTTTATTTGTATCTTTTAAGTTTCTCCATCTAATTCTACAAAGATGAGTCCTAGTATTTTTTATTTTACAACTCTTAATCTTAAAATCTAAAACTAATAAACGATGTTGGGTATTTAAATTATCACTTGAAATTACCTTACAATCTTTACAATCATGACGATCTATTCTTCTCATAAGAAAATAATCAATTTGTGTTTTATTAAATCCATTCTTATAAGTAATAAGATGTTCATCTCTTTTCTTGAATAAAGTATTAGTAATAAAAATCTAAAATAGCTTTACCTTCTTCATTAGTTACTCCAAAACCGTAGCCACCATGAATATTTCTGAAATCTTCTACCACTCTACCTACATGTCCATTTAAATCTCCTCCAACAAAAAATCTTTTTTCAAGAGGTATCATTTGTATTAAGTCTTCTAAGTCATTCCAAAATTTATCTTTAGACTCTGTATCTAAACCTACTTGAGGAGCATAAACACTTATAATATTAAAAATCTTAGTATCAATGATAATCTTAAGGGCTATAATTCTATCACAAACTCTATTAATATTTACAACATTATCTTTCAAACTCTTATCTATAATTACACCTACACCATTTCTAGTGCGACTCTTACCAGAATACCAAAGTTTAAAACCTAAATTATCAATTTCCTTGGCCTTTTCTCCAACCCACTTAGTTTCTTGAATACATAAGATATTAATTTTCATATGAATCATAATATCAACTAATTCCATTAATTTACCATTGAGAGTGCCTATATTCCAAGATCCTATCCTAATATTAGTTTCATTAGTTTCATGGACTAACTTCTTTACCCGCATTTGTCCGTAACGTGAGAACCCTTGCTTATTTAACACTACACCCAGGCGCCGGTGTAGCGGTCCTTGCACACTTTTCATTGTATTCAGGCTATACAGTGCGTCGCTTCCAGGAGACGCCCTAACACTTATACAATGATCAAAAGGATTCATGTCATGATTTTTTCGACAAGTTTTATGTTGGCTGTCGACTATCTAACGCAACCCTCCACTTTTCGCATACGGGCTTGGGACCGGCAACGACAGTGTTAAAATTTTACAATCATTGATTGAACTTATTTTTTTGAATCGTCATTCTAGTTGTGCATTTAGATTTTATTAAATTGAAATCATTTTCTTTTTATAGATTTTCACATCAATCATTAAAATAACATTTTAATTATATAATATAACATTATTTAAATATTAAAAATAACGGCCCATAGATGCTCAATGTCCGTTTAAACCAAAATTTTCAATTGCAATATTACAATTTTCTTGCGATGGTCTAAGAATACTTCTCACATGGAAGAACCGATAACTCAACAATTTTTATGTGGTGTGTGTATGTGTCGTGTGTGTAGTTCTGGGTATTTTTATCGTAAATGGATTTTGGGAGATATTTATCTATATAAAAATATCAGGTGAATGTTTTCCCTAAATTCTCCATTTTAGGGACAAAGTCATATTTTCCATTAATTAATACAAACTAATATTAATAATATTAGAGTTGATCAGAAGTTATAAAAAAATATAGAATATATGCTCACTAATCTGCCTCACATTTTTTCCCGATTTCTTGTCTCCCAATATATTGTCCCCAAATATATTGGAACCCTTGAAGATAATGAAGCGAAGAAGTCGTGATGAAAGCTTGTTCGAGCAGGCATTGTTGGGACGAATTTTAGTTAAATCTATCCAATGTTTGGATTTAGTGTATCTGGGATGTAAGATAAAATGGGGGAGAGATATGATTTGAGATTTTGCATCATATAAAGTTGTCATTTTTTGTAATTTGGCTTGTTTTAGGCTAAATCATTCTTAAGTCTTATTCAAATTTACCACTAAAAGACCTTTTAAGGGTTAGCATCTCAACTTAACAACTCTGGGTTTCATTAATTTTTGTGTTGCTACATACTTGTTAGTTATACAAAAAAAAAAGTCTTTTGCTTAAAATTTTTTGACTTATTCTGAGGAAAGTATGCCAATAGAAAGC